GGCACAGTGGTTCCCCCAGGCCAAAGAAGTTCCGAGTGTAAAGGTCGGTGCAGAAGCAAATGGCAACAGTTTTTTTGGATAAGAAGGGAGTTCTGCTGGTGGACTACCTCGAACCAATGCAAAATATTAGTGTGCTTTATTGACGAAGCTGAGACAAAACATCAAGGAAAAACATCGAGGAAAGCGCTCCAAAGGTGTCATCCTGTTGCATGACAGCGCCTCATCACACACTGCAGGTGAAACAATGGCCAAACTGATGACCTTAGGCTTTCAAGTGATGTTCCATCCACCCTATTCTCCCGACCTGGCTGCTTCTAACTATTATCTGTTCCCCAAACTCAAAAAACACCTAAAGGGATAACAAGTTGGGTGTGTTCTGAAGGAAACTAATGCTGCAAATGAGTGGCTACACCAGCAGTCAGAAGAATTTTATTTGCAGGGACTTAAGAAGCTGCAGGACAGATGTCGCAAGTGCATTGACCTCCTGGGGGAATATGTAGAATAGTGTGTCAGTTACAGCTTCCTAGCTCAATTTTTTTGTGGGAAAGGCTCAATACTTATCAGCACCCCCTCATACACAAGTGGCAGGGACAGCGGCCTACATATGAAGTCGATACTGTACAGGTATTTTTACATTACACACAATGAACCAAAGAGGTCTTGGTAATTGAATTAGGCTATAAATGCTTAAAGCGGGCTGGATAGTTCAGTGAGTTAAGCATCTGGCTGCAGTTCAAGAGATTGGAGCCAGCTTGTGTGGCCTTGGGCAAGCTGCACAGCTCAGGATGGCCCCAAAAGAAAGGAATGATAAACCACTTCTGAGTGCTTACCTGTTGGTTCAGAAGAACTTTTATTGACCTACAATTTGAATACCCCGTACCTTAGAAAACCCCCAGAAGAGTTGCCATAAATCAGAATTTGATAGCACACAGTTATTTATAAATGCTTTTAAACAGTCTCCGACTCTATTTTGAAATTTCCAGGCATAAAACGCAGATGGAAGGAAGGAGGGAGGGAGGGAGGGAGGGAGGGAGGGAAGGAAAAACAATGCCTTAACTATGTCCTCTCTGATGTGTTGATTTACAGCTCCCATCAGTAAATTTTCTTTGAGTTAAATCCGCTTTCACTTTTCTCCCCAAATTAGGACTCAAGGCATCGCTCAATAAGATCAAGAAATAGGTATAAATAAAAACACACTATAGCTCGAAACAAGTTGAATTAAAAGCAGTTTAAAGTGCACAATAATAAATAGATATTGTGCCTCCTTTAAAAAATAAACAATTTCTCAATCAGTTGCACATCTCACCTAAATGAAGAGGTCCTCACCTGCCAGCAGAAGTATGACAAGGAGGCACCACCAGCTTAGAGAACAGAGGCCTCAGATGTTCTGGAACAGGAGACTATACTTAAAGCAGACTTGCCCCTCATCCTATCAGTGTTCACAACCCATTTATGAACTGTTGGGAATGATGAGAAATAGAAATAGTAATGAAGTCTTCCAGTTACCAGTACGTTTAGTAGCTACATCAAAGGTTGCCTAAGGGTCAAGTACCACCCCCCAAATTGTTAGATACAGTAAACTATAAGACACAAACCACATTTATATTTTTGCATCTACTATGTTCCCTTTCTTTTTGAAGCAATATGTGGAGTTAGGATTTTAAAAAAAAGTTCTTACATGTAGTATTTCTGACAGTAAACTTTCCACATCTGCATATTAATAATATCCCATTACTCTTTATTCACTCTGGACTTCTAAAACAGTCGGATCTGAGTTGATCTTTAGGCACATTCAGGTAGAAGCTTGTATTGACATTTCAAATTTAGAGTCCGAATGTCAATTTGACCTGCAAATTTTAGGAACCATTGAACCCTGACAGTTCTCATATTTTATCCTAAATTAGTAGCGATGTAGTTCTGTGAATAAATGTGTTAGAATGACTTCTAATCCAAAGACTGCTTGTCTTCTTTCAAAAGTTATCCTTGGGATCCCTTTCATGGCTTTTCTGAGGGGAAAAAAATATTTTTGAAATGGCCACTTGAATTGATACCATTGCCTTGTTCGTTGACCTTGCAGCTCTTATCACCTTCAGCCAGCATCAGTAATAGTCAGGAAAAATGAGGATTGTAGTTCATCATATCAGAAGGGCATTACTGTGAGGAAGGTTGGAATGTATGATCTTGGCGGGCGGCCTTTCTACCTGCTTACTTGGTCTAAGCCTTTCCCAGGGGCGCTGCCTACCTATGATATCTTCAGAAATGGTAACTCGTTGAGGCACAGGAGCTTGGAATTAATACACTCCTTTCAAGCGTTATTTTGAAAAGATCACATGTGTCAGTCTGCTCGTTCTCTTGTTCCGTTCAAAAGTGATTTCACCATTAATGCATTAAGACTAACGTGTTATTTCCTAACTCAGGTTGTGGCCCTGACAATAATCAAGATTCAGCAGTAACCAGGTGTGGCTACTAGTGGCTCAGGAGGATCACAGTCAGAGGAGAGTAGATGAAAGCCATGGATATTAGAGGGCACATTTGTTGCCCGAAGGCAATACCTCTCATTCTGCATAATGGTAGAGTTGGTTCCAGTAATGTAATGGAAGCTCAGCTCACAGGGTCAAAGCCTGAGGACTTCCTGAATAGCAGGGATTGGCACTTGATCCCCTGCTGGAGGCTCCTCTGTTTCCAGTGAGCTTAGTTGCAGTCATCATGATGGCTGGGACAGACACTGTTTCATACCCTCTCCATTGTAATATAAGCTTGCTCTTATATGGAAAATCATAAGATAGCTGCTCCTCATTTGTTGATAAGGAACAATACAGCTGCCTGCATTTTTGAACTATCCTTGTGAGGTGCAAGCTGAGGAGATTCTCTCTATAAGCACCTGTACTTCCAACAACCATTACACCGCTGGCTTTGTGTGTCAGAAGTGTTAGCCTTGCATAAGAAAGAAAGTAATTGAATGAGCACCGCCCCCTAGAGTCAAACACGACTGGACAAAAATTGTCAAGGGGAACTTTACCTTATATGGAAAATCATAAGATAGCTGCTCATTTGTTGATAAGGAATAATACAGCTGCCTGCATTTTTGAACTCTCCTTGTGAGGTGCAGCTGAGGAGATTCTCTCTATGAGCAGCTGTACTTCCAACAACCATTACACCACTGGCTTTGTGTGTCAGAAGTATTAGCCTTGCATAAGAAAGAAAGTAATTGAAGGCTTATTTGAGCCTAAAGTACTCATCCTTGGAGGAGGCTGCCTGCTAACTCTGCGTGATTCACTTTCTGTCCTGACCTTCTTTGTATCATGATATCAGGATGGTGAAGAGCAGACTGTGTTGCATTTCTGCAGAAATTTAGTTAACTCCATGCAAGAGGCATACTTCCAACAACCATTACACCGCTGGCTTTGTGTGTCAGAAGTGTTAGCCTTGCATAAGAAAGAAAGTAATTGAAGGCTTATTTGAGCCTAAAGTACTCATCCTTGGAGGAGGCTGCCTGCTAACTCTGCGTGATTCACTTTCTGTCCTGACCTTCTTTGTATCATGATATCAGACTGTGTTGCATTTCTGCAGAAATGTAGTTAACTCCATGCAAGAGGCGCACACAGAACAGTCACTTACTCTGATATTGGTCTCTTTAATACATGAGTGGTCTGTGCTCTTGCCAACATATAAATAAACAACTTCTAGTAGAAATGCTGGATTGCTGTTCAGGGCAAAGCTGGATTGCTGTTCTTTTTCAAGACTGCTTGTAACATATCTGTATTGCAATCCTCAAAGCCTTTCTCTAGTTGAAGACAAAAAAAAATCCAGATGTCTACACAGAAAGAGTATCCTAGCAATCCTCTTACTTGACTCAGTTAGTTATTAGTGAAGACGTTGGGAATGGCAATAAAAACTGTCATTGGCTTATACTGTGGCTACTGCTATTTGGAAAGGTCTCTGCATGTGGCTGTTTGAGGACTTGAGAAATGTGAAGGGAAACCATAAAAATCAACCCACACCCAGTCCTCAATGCCTGTGAGAGGAAGGCAGCAGAACACTATCCGTCTATTAAAATTTGTTTGGGAAATTAATTTCCACCTAAAACTGTAATCATTATAAGGAGCCCAGTCAGAAACTGTTTCCATGATTTTCATTTGTTTATTGTTTATCAAATGCTAGCATGATACGTTTCTGCAAAAGCTGTAGAGCAATCTTCACTGAAGGACTTGCAGCACTGCAATGATGTATTTAACATTTTGCATTCATCAACATGTGTAAATATGGGGTTGGGAACAATGCATGCCCTATTAAGGAATTTAGATGGGCAACATTTAATGCCGTTTTAGACATAAGGAACCTGATTCACTGTTATTTAAACTGTTCTGCGTTTGTCTTAATTTGAAGGTAACTGCTTTATCTGAACCTTTTTTTTCAGCCCAGTTTAATGGAGGAGAAATGAGGCAGTCTTCCCCTTCTCCATCTTCAAGTGATCGCCGCCGACAGCTCCGGGCACCAGGGGGAGGCTTCAAACCCATCAAGCATGGTAGCCCTGAATTCTGTGGAATCCTGGGGGAAAGAGTGGATCCAACTATCCCACTTGAAAAACAAATGTAAGTTAAGCCGAAATTTTCAGTTTGGGTTGGATGGATAAGGAAGGCCATGAAAGCGATGTTTGGAAGACCTTGCAGACTTCCTAAACAGGTTTGAGGTGCTATGTCAGTATTGCACATTTCTTCTGTACTTTTTATTGTTCTCAATAAATCTGCATTTGGTTATAATTATCCTGTAAAAGGACTATTTCATACATTATGCGGTTGTAAATTCAAGTTTACCAGTGTGCACACACAGTAGAGAGGTTGCTGAGTATAGCAATGTGATGTATGCTTGCAGATATATTTGTCATAGTCACAGCTTTCGAAGGGTACACATAGCAATCTTTTACATGTACAGTGGGGTCTTGACTTGAGAATTTAATCTGTATTGGAAGGCGGTTCTCAAGTCAAAAAGTCTGTAAGTCAAGCCGTCTGTAAGTCAAGGGTCCACTGTACACCTAGCAAATGTAGCATGTGACATGGCCCATGGAATATCCTCTGACTGTAATATAAAGGCTTTAATATAATACTCATGGAATGGGTATTATCAACTTTAACAGAATCATTAAAGCTGCAAAACCTTTCATTTTGGAGCGTACGAAGGGAACATGAGGGCAAAAATACAAAGGACAGGAGACGTTCTGGAGACTTTGCACAGCCAGAATATCAGTATGTTTATCAAATGGATGAATTATGAGAAGACAAAATCCTAAATGCATATACCTGCTGGTGGACCTGTGATCATAAAGGAGAAGAATTTAATTGCTTTTTAAATGTGATGTTTATATAGCATTTTTAAATTTCTTATTTGTTGCAAGTTGCCTTAGGTCCCCTATGGGGAGAAAGGCAGCATATAAATAATTTAAGTAAATAAATACTGTAAATAAAACTAATGAAACTTCACTACAGTTGCAGCAGTGAAATAGGTGAAGAGTTATTAGCAAAGATATTTAAAACAAGATGGCAGCTATGCTTTTGTTTATGTCTATAGAACAGCCATTTGGAGTACAGTGTACAAAGCAATTGGGAAAAAAAGAGGCTAGAGCGCTTTTTCCATTGAGGAAAGACTGCAGTGTTTGGTCCTTTTATGTTTAGAAAAAAGGCAAACAAAATGGAATAGGATGGAAGTGTAGAAGATAGATGGAGAGAGATTTTCTTCCTTTTCCTGTTAGAACACAGAGTCATTCAGTGAAGTTGATTGACAATATATTCAGAGCTGGTAATATTTCTGAAAAGATAATTAACAGGTGGAATTCATTGACATAAGACAGCACTAGCTTAGATGGATCTTAACAATTCCTAGAGAATAGTTACTAAGAGTTATTAGCTATTATTGGTAAGAAGAACCTCCATATATTGTACAAGCATAATAAAGTTCTGAACAAGAGGTACTGGGAAATAAACAAGGATGATTATTGCCTTGAGGCCTGCTTCTGAGCACCCACAGGATTCTGTCCACCTGTGGAGTTAAGTGGACCTTGGTTTGCTTCAGTCAAGGGAGGTCTTATGTTCTCAGATGGACACTAAGTCCAACAAAAATATAAGGGCGGTCACTGTCTGTCCCAACCAAGAACATCCTTGAATTCTAGAAATCCATAGTTTCCTGCAGAATTTTCCATTCTCAGCATATATGTATGATTAAAAAACTGTACAGTGGTGCCTCGATTGATGAGGATAATCCGTTCCATTGAAATCACTGTTAAGCGAAATCCTTGTGAAGCGAAATTAAAAAACCCATTGAAATGCATTGAAAACCGGTTCAATGCATTCCAATGGGCTAAATACCTCAGCATCCAGCGAAGATCCTCCATAGGGTGGCCATATTCTGGTGCCTGTAAAGCGAGGAATCCGTCCTAAAGCACAGTGGGGAGCCATTTTGCACAGCGGGTGGCCATTTTAGAGCTGCCAATCAGCTGTTTTAAAAGCGTTAAATCAGTTCCTGAAGTAGGGAACCGATCATCGTTAAGCGATTTTCCCCGTAGGGACATCGTTTTGCGATTGCAGTAGCGATCGCAAAAACTTCATCGAAAACCGTTTTCTTTGTTTAATGAGGTAATCATTAAGCGAGGCACCACTGTAATAGCATGGGTGGGCAAAGAAGAACATATTGGCTGCATGCAACTCCCTCAACAGACCCCTTTGTGGCCTCACTGGGGAATAAATTTTGCCTTCCTCCCCCATGAAAAAGTACACTCCAGATTATTTAATTTAAATTAATTGAAAACTTCCTGTCGTTCCTCCTTTCAGGATCTGAGGCTCGCTTTTGTCCAGGGGAAATCTTTGGGAACATCAGGGTTTCAGGAGAGCATTTAATAGCCAAAAATTGTTGCCAGATTGCCATCCCCAAGATCAGGACTGCCAAGGATCATCCAGTGGCAATTTTTAGCTATTAAAACTTTCTCCCCAGGAAAGAAAAGAAGCTCCCCTGAAGCTCCCAAAAGCTTTCCCAGGGCAAAAAAGAGCCCTAGGGAGATCTGGGAGGGGAGAGGAAATGTTCAATTATTTTAAATTAAATACTCCATTTGCCAGATGATGATATCATCCAGTTTATGCAGCAGATTATGCCAAATGAATTCTAGCTATTGTATCTTCTACTTGTTTGGATTTTTGAATTGCCTTTAGAGCATTAGGAGTGTTATATCTTGAGCTGATTTGTAAATTTAAGGCAACTTTATCTTTACTCTCCACTGATTGGTGGCTTTTGTCTCTTTTGTAGCTGGTATCACGGAGCAATCAGTCGGACAGATGCAGAAAACCTCTTGCGGTTGTGTAAAGAATGTAGCTATCTTGTGAGGAACAGTCAAACCAGCAAGCACGACTATTCACTTTCATTAAAGTAAGTACACTGCTTTTCTAAAAGCAACAACTTTCTAAAACTGACTTATTAAGGAGAGTTTTTTGGTGCCGTAACAGCAAACAAAAAACATTCTTTTATGTTGACAATAGAAAGAGCTACCCATGCCCCTTAGGAATTTTAGAATTCCAAGCGTCAGACTGCATCGCTTTGAATGACAGTTCCTAGATTTGGCTGTAATGCTCCAGGGACGTGCACAGATTTTTTAGTGTTTGTCTAGCCCCTTTTAACAAAATTCTCTTTATCTCTCCTAGCTGCTGATTAAATTGTTTCTACTTTTCTTTCTCCCTCCCCCATAGCATTTAATAAACCCATTGTTTTTCTAGCTTTTTCCCTCCTCCTCCTCCCCAACATCAATAGAACACCCGCCCTATAGTGATTCAGGACAAAGAGATTGCACTATATGTCTTGCGATGAACTGAAATCTTAAACAGTATTTGCATTGAGAGATAAACTGCCATGTAAATTTTCATTTTTTTAAAGCAGAGGATAAAGGTTATAATTATATAAATGTATGTAATAAATGGAACATACTAATAAATAGAAAGCCTACTTACTTGGAATTTCCATGTAACCATATGAAGAATTAGACTGCACAAGAAATATAAATATAGAGCTCCAGTATTAAAATAATATACAGTGGTGCCTCGCTTAGCGATTGCCTCGTTTAACGATGTATTCGCTTAGCGATGAGGTTTTTGGAGCGATTTTGCACTCCGTTTAACGATGTTTCTTATGGGGAAAATTCACATAGCGATGTTCGGGACCTTGCCTCGCTTAGCGATGACAGTTTTAGGTGCCCTGTTTTGTTTGGCGATGTTCCGTTTTCGCTATTTTTAAAGTGTCTTAAAAGGTTCAAAAACGGTTTTAAATGTTTGGGATCGTTAGTACACCTTCTAAAACGTGTGCAAATTTAATTTGGCTTTGTTCTGACTCTTCGTTAATTTTTGGTGAATTTCCCCCCCCCCCTTTGAAAGCATTTAAGGGCCCGTTTGACAGCTGTCAAATCTGGGTGTAATAT